GCGGCGGCCCCCGCCGGGCCCGCGCGCGGCGACGGAGCAGCGGCCTCCTGGCCTGGCTGTGAGTTTAGTCGGGCGTCTCCCTCTACAGGAGGACCGTTCAAAAATAGGGAGAAAGTAGTCTGGGGACGATTTTGGTGATCCTCTTTGAATATTGTTTGGCTATTTTTTATGCTTCCTCCAAAATCCGCCTGTATGGAGACATGCCCGACGTAATTGTGAGCCCCTCCCCCCTCCGTCCTTCTCCTGCTGCGAGGACAGATCCGTTCCAGAGCGTTCCGGAACGCTGTCAAAGCGTCCTGGAGCGGTTCGAGAAGGCCGCGGCGCCCGAGACGTCCTCCAGAGCCGCCAGATCTCAGGTGGGCTTTTTCTATTCATTGTTTTGCCGATCGGCGCCGGCCTTCAAACCCCCCCTCTCCCCCGCCCCATGGATTAGATCTTGGCTGTTTTTGGTGCATGTTTCGAGCAGGAGGGGTCCCTCCCCCATCGGCCGCACTGCTTCAAACAGTCGCACTAAGCAGAGGTCTGGAACCAGACCCCCCCCCCTCCCCCCTTTCCGCCCAATGTCGTAACACCGAAAAACATAAAACAACGCTCACCAAGACTCGGGTGTTATCCTCATCCGACGGTATCCTCGTCCTAGCTTCGTCTGATGACTGTGAGCCCCTCCGCCCCACCCCCCCTCCTCCTCCTTCTCCTCCTCCTTCTCCTCCTCCTCCTCCTCCTCCTCCTCCTTCTCCTCCTCCTCCTCCTCCTCCTCCTCCTCCTCTGCACTCGTTCTCGGTCGATCGTTGCTGCTTCTGCTCTTGCCTGGCGGCTTCTTCAGGGGGAGCCGGGCCGAGGCTGGGTTCATCTCTGGGCGCGCCGCAAGCACGCCCGAGGGGGAGGAGCGGACGGGTGGTGGGAACTGCGTGCGCGCTCTTCCTGTGGCCAGGCGATCGCAAACATGGATCAAGGGGGCCATTTTTCTATGGTGCGTCTAACATTTTCTATGGTTCGTTCAACGTCCGCTTGAAGTATGTTTGTCTATTTTCTATGGTTCGTCCAGCATCCGCCTGTAGGGGGACACGCCCGACCTAAGACGAGCGCGTCATCGTCCTGGCTTCGTCTTAACTCAGGCGATCGCAAACATGGATCAAGGGGGCATGGATTAGCGACGGGCCCCGTTTGCATGGGGAATCGCGAATATCCGCCGCCGAGCGAGGCGGCACTGGTCGCATTTGGGGAAGGGCACCTCCCCCGATCCATGGATTAGGCGACCGCGCGCCAAGTCCATGGATCGCTAATCCATGTTTGCGCGCCCCCGATGTGGTCTGCGCGCCCGAGCAGTGGTCGCCCCAGTGGGGCACTGCGAGCGGCGCTCGCGAGGGCAGTGACGGCCTGGAACTATAATGTTCCAGCCTACTTGGGCCTTGGTCACCAGGAAGGATTTCTAGCACCAAGAAGGCACCGAAACTTCAGGGTCTTCAAGTGTCGGGCCCTGGAGGGTGACACACGTTCGACACTGTTTCGACACTTGTTTAGGGTGCTCGACATTGTTTCTGGGATGTGGCCCGTAAGTACGATGCGAGCAACATAAGCCTGGAAGTAGTTCCATGATGAGAGGCCGTCGCGGAAGTGACGCTCAGAAGTCTAGAGAGCAGCGGCACCCTCGGACACTCGGCCCTCCAGGAGCGGACTGGACTCGACTGGACTCCTCCTCAGTCGTAGATGATGTCTATACCCGAACTTGTAAGTTCAGCCCTAAGAAAATGGTCGCTCAGAAGATACTGGAAACTTGACGATACACTCCTGGGGGGTTGTTCGGACGAGCCCGATATCGAGGACGCGCGCCCCTTCTTCGTGTATCTCCGAATCGTTAAGTCGAATCCTCTTTGCGGTTCTTGTCGCGCGCACGGGCGGGGCGAAGCTGCGTGAGAGGTAGTCGAGTTGAATTGGCTAGACTTAGGAGAGAATGAGAAGAGACACGTGGACAAGAAGGATAGGAAGTGGTTCGAACCGTTAGGAGAGGCGCCAACGATTCGCAGTGTTAGAGCAGCTTTAACTTATGTGTAGACGAGCGCGCACGCAGCGCCCGGAATAAGACAAGAGGGGGGCCCAGCCACCCCTCTTTGAAAAGGGGGGGGGGCTTCCAAAGCGATCCCCCCTTCCCCCTTCTTTGGGGTACTTTTTTGCTAGCTGGCCGGGCCCTGGCTAAACGGGAGGGGGCTTGGAAGCTACCCCCCCCCCGCCTCTGTCCGAGGCCCAGGGCAAGCCCGTCCCTCGTTTCCACAAGGGGGGGGGCTTCCGAAGCTACCTCCGCCCCCTTTTGTCTGGATTTTGCAGCTGGGGGTCCCTAGCTAAAGGGGGAGGGGCTTGGAAGCTACTCCCTGCCTCCCTCCCAGTTCGGGGCCCAGCGCAAGCCTGGGCTCCCTTTCCAAAAGGGGGAGGCTTCCGAAGCTACCCCCCTCCCCGCCTTCTGTTGGCATTTCTACCTGGCCCTGGCTGAAGGGGGGGGGCTGCGAAGCTACCTTTCCCCTTCGGTTGTCGGCGCCCCTTTGGTTTTCGGTGCCCCGTTGGTTTTCCGCACCCCTGTGGTTTTCGGCGACCCTGTGGTGTTCGGGGCCCCTTTGGTTTTCGTCGCCCCTTTGGTTTTCTGCGCGCCCTTTTGGTTTTCGGCGCATCGTTGGTTGTCGGCGCCCTTTTGATTTCCCTGGCCTTTTGGTTTTCGGCACCCCCTGGCCTCTTTGGTTTTCGGCGCCCTCTTGGTTTTCGGCGCGCATTTGGTTCTCTGCGCCCCTGGAGTTTTCATCGCTTTTGGTTTTCGTCGCCCCTTTGATTTTCAGCGCCCCTTCGGTCTTCGGCGCCCCTTTGGTTTTCGACGCTCATTTGTCTTCCGGCGTCCTTTTGGTTTTCGGCGCCTCCTTGGTTTTTGGCGCCCTTCTCGTTTCCGGGCGCCTCTTTGTTTTCGGTGCTAGTTTTCGGCGCCGTTTTGGTTGTCCGTCTTTGTTTTTGGTTTTCGGCGCCCTCTTGGTTTTCGGCGCTCAGTTGTCTTCCCGCGTCCTTTTGGTTTTCGGCGTCCCTTTGGTTTTCGGTTCCCTTATGGTTTTCGGCCTCTTGATTTTCGGCGTTAGTTTTCGGCGCCGTCTTGGTTTTGAGATTTTTGGTATTCGGCGCATGTTTGGTTTTTGGAGCTCCTTTGTTTTCGGCGTCGTTTTGGTTTTCGGCGCTTCTGTGGTTTTCTGCGCACTCTTTGACCTGTTTGTTTTCGGTGCCCTTTCTGTGTTCGGCGCCTCTTTGGTTTTCTGCGCACCTTTGGTTTTTGCGCCCTTTGGTTTTCGGCGCCCGTTTTGGTTTTCGGCGCCCTTTTTGATGTTTGGCGTTGCTTTGGCTGTCGGCCCTCGGCGCCCCTTTGGTTTTCAAGGCCCCTCTGATTTTCGACGCCCTTTTGGTGTTCGGTTCCACTTTGGTTTTCGGCACCCTCTGGTTTCTGTCGTCCCTTTGGTTTTCGACCCCCATTTTGTTTTCGGCGCCCCTTTGGTTTTCGTCGTTTCTTTGGTTTTCGGCCCCCGTTTTGTTTTCGGCGCCCCTTTGGTTTTCGGTGTTCGTTTGGTTGTCGGCTCCCCTTTTGTTTTTTCCGGCACTCCTTTGGTTTTCGGTGCCCTGTTGGTTTTCGGTGCCTTTTTGGTGTTTGGCAACCCTTTGGATTTCGGCATCCTTTTGATTGTCGGCGCCCCTGTGGTTTTCGGCGACCCTTTGGTTTTCGGTGCCCTTTGGGTTTTCGGCGCCTCTTCGTTTTTCGCCGCCTCGTTGGTTTTCGGCGCCTTTTTTGGAGTTCGACGCCCCTTTGGTTTTCGGCGTTCTTTCAGTTTTCGGCGCCTTCCAGTTTTCGGCGCCGCTTTGGTTTTCGGCGCCCTGTTGGTTTTCAGCGCACTTTGGTTTTCGGTGCAGTTTCGGTTGTCGGCCCCCTTTTGGTTTTCGGCGCCCCTTTGGTTTTCGGCGTGCCGCCATCCAGTTTTCGGCGCCGCTTTGGCTTTCGGCGCCCTGATGGTTTTCAGCGCTCCCCGGTTTTCGGCGCAGTTTCGGTTGTCGGCCCCTTTTGGTTTTCGGTTCTCCTTTGGTTTCTGGCGCCACTTTCGGTTTTGCGGCGCCCTTGTTGGTTTTCGGCGCCGGCTTCCTTTTCGGTGCCCTTTCCGTTTTTGGTGACTTTTCGGTTCCCGGCGTTCTGTTGGTTTTCGGCGCCCTTTTGGTTTTCGGCACTTCTTTCAGCCGAAGGGGGGGTGGCTTCTGTCAGAGGGGTCCAAAGGGATGGGTGGGGTATTTAGGCCCGTGATGTTGCTGCCTACCTAAAGGTCCCCCAGGATAAAAGCACGACCAACAGTCATCCGCAACAACAGAAACAATCAAAAGACATAACGCGCAACAACAAAAACAATCAAACACATAATCAGCATTATTAATCTACAATCCAAAAGGAACGCGTTGTTTCAAGGATTTATGTGTAAACCGTCTTGACCGCGCCCGGACCACGCCCGGAGAATGCCCCAGATCGCGCCCAGACGACGCCCAAACGACGCCCGGACCACGCCTGGACCACGCTTGGGAGGACGAACCGAGGGCGGGGAACGCCCGTCAACCCATCCCAGGCCCCAGCCCCACGGGCCACGGCCAACGAGTCTCGCCCCCAGCACCAGTGGCGGTTGTCACACCATGGGCCAATGCCGCCCAGGGGGCCCCCCCCGATGATAGTTCGGGGGGGAGCCCCTTTAAAACAATCAACCCACTTGTTTGTTCCCGGGCGAGGTCCCCTAAACCCTATCAGGTCGCTTGATTGTGTTCAGGCACCACGAAAAACAGCCCACAAAATCATGTCTGTTTTGTCGATTGCTCTCCTGATGAAAAATGAGCCGAACAAAAAACAATCTAAGTTGTCGTAGGGCGCTCCGTCCGCCATAAAAACAATACATGTTCTCGTCGCGGTCGGACCGCGGCGCTCGCAGTTGCCGGCGTTGAGTGTTGTACAC